AAGCAGAAGCTATATTTCAAAACAAAGAAATAAAGAATACAACTACTCTTTCATAATGCATGCATATGATTTTTTTATTTTTAGTTTTGGCTTATGTTTCTGGATGGTTTTTAGATGTTTTATATCAACTTATGAAACTTGATATGTGCATCAAGTATCAACACAGAAACTTGAGTATAAGTGATAATAGTTCAATTTGCTATCAGATCCAAGGAGAAGAAGACCACCCTAATATAAGGCGTTTGCAATGAAGAAGTGATGGTTGATCCTGGCTCTGATATTTGTGCTCCATATTCCTTCAGTAGACATTGGAAGAGCTTTCAATCTTATAGCCTATAAAGGAGTATGTTTTTCTTGCTATATTTCATTTGAACGTGGAGGATGAGTTCTGATTTAGATACTGATACTCGGAAGCTTGTGAATATTACAGTTGAGGGTGCTTTTGATGATAATCAGTTTGAGAGCAAGCCCCTTTTAGCTTTTGCATCTTTCGAGATGGAGGTGGCTGGTGACCATTCACTTGGTGCAAGTGAAGATGACTGCAAAATAGTTAAGTTTCTCGGTGAGATACCAAGTATTTATCAGCTGGAATTAATTGGCCATACTTCTCGGGTAAGCAGACTCATCTGCACACATTTATAACCTGTGGAAAAACTTATTTCTAGTTTGTTCAAGAATTACTTGAAAATCATCTTATTTGTGTTAATCAATGTTCTTTTTTCTAGAATTTGGCGGTTGGGGAAGATCCTGTCCATTTTCCTGCAATTTGTTCAGTGAAATATCTTCTCATTAATATAAATTTTGAAGATATGCCAGAAATGTTAGCTGCCTTTTGCATATTTCGGAGTTCCCTCCTCATGCAAAAGCTTCATATAGCGGTAAGTTTGTTGTGAAGGGAGATGGCATCTTTCTTGCATGCAAGATATTATTTAAATACTTGTTATACATACTTCTACAATAATCATATGCCATGCGACATTCACTTTTTAACACCTTGAAATCCGATTTTACATGGTATTCATTCTTAGTTTTTTGTTTTTGGAAAATCTACAATGTGGTGATCTGCAAAGAGATGATTACATGGGGGAGAATGTGGTAGAGTATAAAATTATAACCCTCATCCTTCACTACAACTTTGGCGCTTCGATGCAATGGTAGAGTCCTTTGACATGGTAGAAGAGCAATCCATATTCAAATTCCCATGGTCATGTATTTAATGCAAATTTAGGCGGGAAAGGCAACATGGCATGGGTTCAGGTTTAGCACATGAAAAGGATGCCCAACGTATGGACGCATGTTGGAGTGTAAAATTATGATCCTTGATCTTGACCAAAACATTACCCTAGTAGAAATCCAAGATACAAGCCAAGAAATCCAAGCTTGGATGATAGGGTCCTGTCTTAAGCTAGCAAGGCAGAAATCCCAATGAATTGGATGCACTCAAGAAACAAAGTGGTAGCAGCACAAAAGAACCTGCAACAAGCTCTTAATCATCAAAAGGAAATCATAGAGTAGCATGAAAACCTTGTAAGGCTGAGAGCTGGTCATATAAAATCCAGTCTGGTCTATTTCCATTCCCTGTTGCAGACATGATCATATGAATATGTACATAACATCCAAACCAAATGTCGCCATTACTTCTAAAATGGTTAAAAACCTCGGATACTGATATATAAAAATCTGACCCACAACCAAATTTCTGTTTTATAAAAATCCTGCTTGAAGATTTTCGTGCAAGGACTAAGAAATTCGTGCGAAAATGATGCAAACTTTAGTTTTGAATTAACTAATTAATTTGTGGTGTTTCACACTATTTGTGTAAGACTAAGAAATTCGTGCAAAAGTGCTTATGTGGATCTCCCTTATGGTGTACTCTTGTGATATTTCATAATGCATATTTATGCCGCATTTTCGTCGTTTTTACTGAACATTGCTTTAACGTACTTCTAGGTTGATTGTGGATAGATCTCTTGTACTGCCATTCAATTGCAAATAGACTTCTGTAATTCGATTGTTGCAGATAGAACCTAGAGTGATTTTTGAACACTTTGGTTTAAGGTACTAATTGTTCATTTATTCATGACAAATGTAGGCTAACTCAAACAAGAGTATCGCCAGAATATCTTCTGAGAAATTTTGGGAAGGAGAAGAAAGCTTTATAGATCGCTAAAAGTGGCTTGCTCTCAAACTGAATATCATCAAATTCATCTTCACTTGTAAAATTCACAAGTTCCCGAGCACTAATTTTCAAATGTCTACAACCAGTGATATTTTAATACTAAATCTTTCAGTAGAGGGCAGATAGAAATTAAAGTTGCAAGTCCATCATCAGTAGAGGAAACAATGTGAAGATCCAATGTTGTAAGCTTGCTAAATCATTTGAATGAGGTTGGAGGAATGAGCTGACATCTATATAACTCTAAATGAGTCATGTCCACACATGAAAAAGATACAAAGGCGGTTTATAGATCGATCCTTTCTATTTGTCGAGAGAGAATTCTTTGATGCCATTTCTTGATAGAAAACAAATCCATCTTCCAATATCATTACAGCTCTCCAAGTCAACAGAAAGCGTGAACTTGTAAATTGGTCCATCATGAAGTAGGAGAAGGCAATCTACAGCAGTCGTAAGTTTCCTGTCAAACACCATTTGCATCATCTCTTCCGTTGGGAAATAATCGTGATCTATGATAAGTTGTGGAAGAGTAGTCCATAAATATTGCAAATATCTGGATACTGTGTTTGTTCGAACTGCATCTCGTATTTGGATTTTTTTTACAAATTGATAAAAATGTTGGTTGGGTTTTTCGAGTTAAGTCCCAAAGTAATATCCTGAAGCAGTTGCCAATACGAGATGCGGTTCGAACAAGCACATTATCTAGATATTTGCAATATTTATGGACTACTCTTTCACATCTTATTATAGATCATGATTCTTTCCCAGCAGAAGAGATAATGCAAATGGTGTTTGACAGAAAACTTGCGGTTGCTATAGATTGCCTTCTCTTACTTCATGATGGATCAATTTACAAGTTCACGCTTTCTGTTGACTTGGAGAGCTGTAATGATATTGGAAGATTGATTTGTTTTCTATCAAGAAATGACATCAAAGAATTCTCTCTCGACAAATGAAAAGGACATATCTATAAACTGTCTTTGTATCTTTTTTCATGTGTGGGCATGACCCATTTAGAGTTGTATAGATAGCTCATTCCTACAACCTCATTCAAATGATTTAGCAAGCTTCCAACATTGGATCTTCACACTGTTTCCTCTACTGATAATGGACTTGCAACTTTAATTTTTATCTGTCTTCTACTGAAAGATTTAGTATTAAAATATGTTACTGATTGTAGACATCTGAAGATTAATGCTTGGGGACTTGTGAATTTTACAACTGAAGGTGAGTTTGATGATATTCAGCTTGAGAGCATGCCACTTTTAGCTACTGCATCCATCAACTTCTTGAGGGTGGCTGGTAATTCACTTACTGCAATTAAAGAAGACTGTGGAATAGTTAAACTTCTTCGTGAGACACCAAGTATATGTAAGCTGGAAGTACTTGGTCATACTTTACAAGTAAGAAGACTTATCTGCTCACAATTTAAAAACCAGAGAAAAAATTATTTGTAGTTTGTTCTATAAAAAACTATTTGTAGTTTGTTCATAAATTACTTGAACAACAGCTTACTTGTGTTATTAATTCCCCCCTCCCACAAAGAATTTGGCAGTTGGTGAGGTTCCGCTCATCTTCCTGCAGTTTGTCCAGTGAAAGATCTGCTCATTAATATAAATTTTAAAGATATGCAAGAAACACTGGCTGCCTTTTGCATAATTAGAAGTTCCTCCTTTGTGCAAAAGCTCGGTGTAGCGGTAAGTTTGTCATTATGACAGATGACATTTTGTTGTATGCAAGATAATACTTCAATACTTGTTACACATATTTCTCCTCTAATATTATGGGTATAGATACAACATTCACTTTCCACACTTCGAAAGCCAATTCTAGTGGCTTCAGCACATTTTATATGGTTATTCATTCTTGCAAAGAGATGAGGAAACGGGCTGGATATTGAACCCCTGGTATGGGATCACATCATGCCATGTTGCCAAGTTACTGCTTTCTTCTGAGCCAAACCCCTGTGGTGGATAAAGTGATGAGAGCTTAAAATTTTTAGTGCACATGTAGGTATATACACATATTGAAACATGCCTAAGTAGATGTGTGTCATATCGTTCTTATATGAGATCCTTGGAGCATTTTTTATGGTATTCCATATTTCGAGGACAAATGATTTCATTAATATAAGAGGAAATATGGGGTGAATTTCACAAAGCCGTCTTCAACACTGGGTGTTTTGCCAAAAAAATCCACAAAACTATATAAACAAGAGGAATGTGAAAACTGTGGCAGAGATGAGAAGTCTGAGGAGGTGCAGTGTTTACAGGTTTTCACGTGAGAGAGCAAGTGAGAGAGCAAGGCAAATCAGTCAGATTATATGCTTAGGCCTTTTACTGTGCATGTCAATGTTGCTTATGAGATTTTCAGTGGTTCGCGCAGGGGAGTTGTACAGTTTTGATTGTTTGGGAGGGTTTCTTTGATTTATAAAGTTCGAAGGGTTGGGTTTTGCAAAAATCCAAAAGTTCATGTGTATTTTTTATATTTCCCCCAAAGACTTAATACTCGGTTTAGGTGGGGGAGCCATCAAAATATTTACTTCATACATTTGTCATAAGCTTATTTGTTATATATACAGGAAGTGAGATACATAACTAGATATCTAAGGGCCAAGTCATGTTGTATTTGAAAACTAATAGAAACATATTAAGTTAAAATTAGCATCTTTATCATTGTATGTTGTTGCATTATTCGAAAAGTTTCTGGAATTCAGATAGCTTTACATGTATATTCATGATGTAGAGATGCACTCTCTTTATATTGACATACTCAATGTCCTTTATCAATGCATTTATCATTGAATGTTGTTGTATTATTCGAAAAGCTTCCTGGAATTCAGATACCTGTACATGTACATGCATGCTATGATGCACGGATACGACACGGACACGGATACGGGATACGACAAAATCCAAAAAAATAGGATACGGGGATACGGCGAGGAATTTTTTTAAATTATTATTATATATAGAAAATTTTATAATATTCAACTAACAATCTAAATTATGAATCTATCACAAAATAACAAATTTGTAAACAAAAAGGAATTGGAGTACATACTCATTCTATCACAAAATAACAAGTTTGTAAACAAAAAGGAATTGGAGTACATACTCTACTCATTCTATCACAAAATAACGAGTTTGTAAACAAAAAATACATCAAGATGAAGTGGGAGCTAGTCCAATGATTTCTTCATTGCCTTCATCATCAGCAAACAATACAGCCGACATGGTGGGTTCATCAAGAGACAAGGTGGCGACATCAAGAATACTGGCACCCTGAAATGAGTCGAATGCATCTCCACCAATATCCCACAGCCTCGATTCTCCTTCTTGATATTCTTGGGATGATCGAGAAAGCAAACGAAGATTGCTATGCACATACACAAGATCTTCTGCCCTTGACGGTGTCATCTTGTTCCTCTTCAAAGAGTGAATGAATGAGTATGTACTCCAATTCCTTTCGCAGCAAGAGGATGAGCAGGGTTGGCCTAGAAGCTTTAAGGCCAATGCTTGAAGATTTGGAGTTGAGGATCCATAGAGCGCCCACCATGATTTTGGATCCATCAATCCTCTATCGATAAGAGAATCTGGATCCCTAAAAGTGTCAAGAGCAGCCGAGAATCTAGCAAATTCCAAGTTAACCGTCCTCCGTTCATCGGCATTAGGATAATATCTCCTCAGACACTTGGATCTTACCGAAGAGATCTCCTCATCCTGATGGGATGCTTGCCGATGGATATTCTCATTGTCTCATGATAATATCTATTAAAATTTAACATTGAATTAGACATTATTAATAGAAATAATCACATCAAAAATAATGAATTGATAACATAATCAAAATTATTACCTTGGATTCAAAGAGTGCGCCAAGCACTCAAGTGGCGTGTTGCTCTTATTCCATCTATCCTCCAAGATCTTGTGTACGACATCATAAAATGAGGAGGGATCATTTTCTCTTTTGCTCTCATGTCTATAAATAACAATCTTCACCTTCTCAATCATTGTATCCCACATATCATATACCAAATGAAGGCTGGGCTTGTCGGTATCGGTGAGCCGAATCATATCATATATAGGAGCAGTGAAAGCAATAATATAATCCACCCTATCCCACCACAAATCATCAAGCACTTTCTCCTTAACAAACTGTGCTTTTCCCACATCATCATCTCTGTACAAGCTCCAACGGTCGCTAAGAACCATAACTTGGAGGCTTCTCTTGATCACAGTGAACCTCTTTAGCATGATGATCCATGAAGCAAATCGAGTATCAGCAATTGAAAGAAGCTTCATCTTCGAATGCTCATTAAACATAGCCAGCCTCATTGAGTGATTCATGATGAAGTTCTTAATCATCAAAGCATCATCATATACCTCTGTAATCCAGCTGCACTCTGCATAAGCAATTGCATTAACCTCTGTATTCTTCGCAGCACAAATATTCTTAAGGGTAAGATTGAGGGTGTGAACAACACATGGAGTTCAGAAGATATGTGGAAATTTGCCCTCCACAACTGTCCCTGCGGCTTTGCATGCCGAAGCATTATCAGTAATGATTTGGATCACATTTTGAGGCCCCACATCTCTAATGCAAGCTTCAAGCTTCTCTGCAATGAAATATTTATTCTTTTGCTCTCCCTCGGCATTCACACAGTGCAAGAACATTGGCCCGTTGTCTGAGACCGCAATGAAATTTATCAGTGGCCTCCTCTGTGCATCTGCCCAGCCATCACTACAAATAGAGATCCCCTTCTGCTTCCATGTGCTCCTGATAGGTTCCAACAATCTCTCTACGTGAGCCTTCTCACGTTGCAAAAGAGTGGTCCTCAAAGAATTATAACCCGGAGGCTTACAAGCCGGCAATTGAATTGCTTGCGGCATATGTGATCATCTTGGAGAAATAAGGATTTCTTGCCAAATTAAATGACAACCCACCGGTATAGAACATCCTTGCAATCATTGAATCCAATTCATCTCTTGCCCCTATATTGAAGGCCTGTTCAACAGTGGTGACTCCCCTCCTCCTCTTTGGCTCACTTAGACGAGAAGGCATGCTTTGACTTCCTGCTACTGCACTTGACGCTGAAGAACCTAGCAGCGTCACTATCCTAGGCATGCAGCGTCACTGTCCTAGGCATAGAAGCCCTCACCCTTGCTTCTGCTTGATCCGCATCAGTTTGCATGTCTCTCAAATTGTGTGGCTTAACACATTTGCACATTTTAATTCCTTGCCCACTAATCCGCATTAGATGGGCTTTGACCCTTGAGTAGGAGGATGTAAATACTTCACTGCAATAACTACACATCCACTGCCAATTCCCCCCTCCTTTACCAATCTTCTCCAACTTTGTGACATACTTCCACAAAGGAGTGTGATCATTTTGAACAGACTGTACACCACCAGAACTACCTCCTGCTTCCATTGCTATAAACAAGTAACAAGAATTAAGTGACTAACAAATAACAAGTAACAAGTACTAATTAAACAAGTAACAAGTAACAAGAATTAAGTGACTAACAATTAAATATTTACATGTTCATAATTGATTAGTTAGCATGCGAATTTCTATTTTAAACTCTTTTCTAAAAGTTGCTGTATTCATTGCTGCATTCATTACAACTTTGATCGTTACAATGAAGTAAAAAGATAGCCTTTTTATAAGACCGGTACACAATGAAAACAAAATAAATACAACTCTTTTCAAACAAACGCAAGATCTGTTTGTCATCTCTTGCTTGCGTGGGTCTTTTGCCTGTGACGGGGATGTTGATATCCGTGGACCACCGGGGCACTCAGATCTGGTTCGGATAAATCGGACAGAGTTTCGTTGATCCGCGTGAGATCTAGAAACTTTCTGATCCGGATAAATCGGACAGAGCTTCGTCTATCCGCGAAGAGATATAGAAGCAGAGCTTCGTCGATCCGCGTGAGATCTAGAAGCTATAAGCGTATACCTCGGCTAAAACGAGGTAATAGCTCTTCTTAGTATCAACGCTAAGGCCAATACTAAGGCTCGGACGGGTGATGAAGGCTCTGATCAAGGCCTCTCCTCCTCTTGTTGAAGCACACGGGCACTCTTCACTGCAGCAGGGCTTTGCCAAGCTCTCCAAAAATCCTCCCCAAATCAAGGCACTCCAAGGGGCTATTTATAGGTGTTTAGAGGGTGTAGGGGACCTCTAGGGGGTGCGGACACCCCTTGGTGTCTCGGCCTTGGCCGAGACACCCTAGGGTGTCTTGGTTTTGCCAAGACACCCCTCGGGTGTTTCGAGCTTGCCGAGACTCCGTTTAGGTGTTTTGTTGGTTCCCCTGTATATCCAATCACCAGAGCGGATCGATAAGTTGTTGCTCACTGACTTTGTTTTTCCTTTTATAGATTATACTTAGAGTTAATCAACAATGAGCAAGGATGAAGGATCAATCAAATATGTATAATTAGATATGTATATTCATAATTCATTCATTAAATATGTATATTCATTTGTGTAATAATTCATTTGTGTAATAATTCATTTGTGTAATAATTTATTGACTAACAAAATTATTGACCAACAATTATTGACTAACAAATAGTTCATTTGTCTAATAATTCATTGTCTAACAAATAATTCATTGCCTAACAAATAATTCATTTGTGTAATAATTTATTGACTAACAAATTCATTGCCTAACAAATAATTCATTTGTGTAATAATTTATTGACTAACAAAATTATTGACTAACAAATTGGAAAATATATTCATATGTTATGAAATTAAAACTGTAATTGAAACTGAAATTAAAATTAAAATTGAAATTGAAAAAAACAAAATACCAAATGAAGTGGTCCTCAGTTGCTCACCAATCAACAGTAGCACAAACAGTCAAACTGCATTAAAAAAAAAGATCAGTCTTAAAAAAAAGGTTAAAAGAGAGAGAGATAGAGAGAGAGATTGAGAGAGAGACAGAGAGAGAGAGAGAGGATGACGGAGATAAGACAGAGAGAGAGGGACGGAAGCTGTTGAGAGAGAGACAGCGAAAGAGGGGGAAAAAAGATCAGTCTTAAAAAAAGGTTAAAAGAGAGAGAGATAGAGAGAGACAGAGAGAGGATGACGGAGATAAGACAGAGGGACGGAAGCTGTTGAGAGAGAGACAGCGAAAGAGGGGGACGGAAATAAGACAGGGAGAGGGACGGAGGAGATCGACGACGAACCTAGCAGCGACGACGAACCTAGCAGCGACGACGACGACGACGACGACGACGAGCTTTGGGTGGAGGAGATCGACGACAACGAGCTTCGGGTGGAGGAGATCGACGAGGAGAAGCTTCGGGTGGAGGTGATCGACGACGACGACCTTCGGGTGGAGGAGATCGACGACGAGAGACTGCAGAAGCTTGCGATCGCTGGAGGCGGCGGCGTCTCGAGTGAGGTGAGCGAAGTGAAATTAAGGCTTTTGGGTTTGGGTTTTGGTTACGGGTTATGTATTTCTTTTTTTTCGTATCCCAGTCGTGTCCCCTCCCAGTTGACCGTATCCCCTCCCCATTGACCCGTTGACCCCGTATCGGACACTGTTTGACCGTGTCCGACACGTGTCTTGCACGTGTCGGGCACGAATCCGTGTCTGATTCGTGTTTGACACGGATTCGTGGTCATTGGGGGAGTATCCGTGCTTCATAGCATGCATGACGTATAGATGCACTATCTTTATTATTTACATAAATGTCTTTTATCAATGCTTCGAATTTTCTACTTTTTAGGAAACTGTGTCACTTGTCCATGGCTTATGGTGTGTCCCTTTCCTATGTTTATGCTTCTTACACTTAGTTAACAATTAGAGAAATTTCAAATATAAATTGGAAAATATCATCTGAAAAGCTTTGCACAATTTTATTCAACCTTCGCTTTAAATTATTTTAAAAGACAGAACGATCTTCTTTGTTTTTTTAACACTTTGTTCAAAAAGTATTAATTGTTTTCCTTCATGCTATCGTAGGCGATCTCTAACATTGTCAGAGGATCATCCAACGGCTTTCGGGGAGGAGGAGAAGGCTTCAATTGCACGTTGAGTCACCTCAAAGTTGTGGAAGTGACTGGTTTCAGTGGCATCACGTCTTAACTTCAGCTCATACGGTTTGTTCTTGCTAATGCACCTGTTCTTGAGAGACTGCAGATAATGTTCAAAGAAAATGTGGCTGACGAGGTAAAGATCCTCAAGGAGGTGATCCGGTATCCAAGAATCTCAACAGAAGTCGAAGTTCTTTTTCTAGACTAACAGCATTCTGTCTTGAACTTGTAAAAAGTTGCATCCCTCTTATGCGCACTCTAGTTTTGCTTTCAGCTTTTGTTGGACTCTTTTAAGAGATGATCTGAGACAACTGTAGGAAATGTGAAGTACTGTTCTGATAGTTAAATTTGGATCATTCAAAATGTGTGTGAGCCTCAGAAGTTTTATGGCCAAATTCAGGGGTGCTGCTTAACTTTATATTTTTACCTTTATTGGTTTAAAGATGTTGGTTGACCGTTGGCAGTCATTAAGTTGTGGATTTAGCTGCTTTCTTACAGATGTGATCTTTGTTGTTATTCTGTGCTTGCCATTGGTCTAAAACTAAAAGGGTGTTCGACTAATATTTATTTTGTGAGAACTTGTAAGTTACTTAGTGTTACTTATTTTTACTCATTTTCTTCGATGATAAAGTAATCCTTTACCAGCAATAAGTAAATCTTTTGTAGATGAAGAGGGAAAGTTAATAAACCCCAACTTAATGAGGTTTTTGATATGTGCCCCTTAAATCCTCTATATTTGCAAGATCATCCTCGAATCTTGGTATTTGGCCCCCTAGTTCTTTCACATTGATTTTTTCTACCCATGTGACCGACCAATTTTAGTTTTCAAACGGGAAATTGTTGCAAACCTATTAGAAACTATTGGGAATTTTGACGTTGTTTTGTTTAAAAAGCAACATTCTTAAGTAGGACCTGCAAGAAAGATCCAATATGCTCGTTTTGAGGGGCAAGTTTGAGGGAAAATTTTGCAAATATTGAAGATTGAGGGGTATGTATGTATGTAAAAATCTGTTTTCCCTCCCTTATAAATGATAGAAAAGCAAGTCAAAATTACCAAACATGATCTTAGAACCTTATAAAGAGAGCACAAGATGAATTTGTAATAAGTCGCTTCCTAAACACGCACCTCAATATTTTGTCCTAGTATATATATCGTGTTATTTACAACTAACGATCTTGTGTGCTACGAAGAAATGCGCGAGATCCTTCCTTAAAAATTGTCCAAACAGATTTATGAGCCATCTTAGGCCCCACTCTTTTATTTTTATTTTTGCAGGCACAAAAAATATTAATAATAAAGTTTACGCTACGGCCATTAGCGTTCGGGTGAAATTCTAGAGTCACGGAACAACAACAACAATAATAAACATAAATCAATATCAGATCAGCTAGCATCGTTTTGCTGCACATAATTAATAGGGGGTGCAATCACCCGTTTTCCTCCTGTTATGGCCACCGAAAGGCTCAAACCGAGCCATCTGATGGCGCCATTTTCGGAAAAGCGCCTTAACCAAGCCACTCGTGGAGCTGTCCACTTTTACAAACACGTCCTCCTCGCTGCAACACCGGTTAAAGCACAGCTCACGAGTTGCCCCCGTTCACCGGCACGTGTCAGTGTTTCTGCCACGTTATCCACGTCCTTTTCTGGTTCTCTTACGTTTCTTTTTTCAATTCTCTAATCTTTTCTTACTCAAGTGCACCTGCCAACATACCTCTGCATCTCTCTCATTGCTCTTAATTTGTTGTTGCAGAGATCAGAGGGATCATTAATTAGTTCCAGAAAATGGAGGTTCCCATAGGTTCTCTTGCCATGCTATGTAGCTTCATCTCCTTCATCCCTTTCTTCTTCGTGTTATTGCTCCTTGGCATCATCAAAGGTAAAATTTGATATTTAATTTGATTTGGCTTTTGCTTTTGCATGTCGTAACAAACTTCAGTTTACACGTTCATGCACAAATTCCATAAAATTAATCCAAATCTCACCAACCTTTGTGGAGAAATCAGGAAAAGAATCAGAAAAAACCAGAAAAACTGGCATAAGTCGACTCATGCACAAGGCTAAGTCGACTTATGGTAAGTCGACTCATTAGTGTGCACGAGTCGACTTACGATCTGCAGCGGAGTTGTGGTTTTTGCCTCTGCCAAGTCGACTTATAATGTCTGTTAAGTCGACTTATGAAGTCCTCTCCTGTTGCTGTTTTTTCCTCTGCTAAGTCGACTTACGCCCTCTGTTAAGTCGACTTATAGCGGGTTTTTTGCATACGCAGGTTTCCTATTTGCAGTCTAATTGGGGTTTTGTTTTGGTATAAATAGGGAAACGATTTGAGAGGGTTTTATATCAGAGATTAAGGAATCTTTTGAGCATTGTGAGAGGGAGATATTGTGGGCAAGGTGAGATCTTTGGTTGAGGGTTAGTTTGAGAGTTCTTGTGTGATTGTAACCCTTTGTACTCTCCTTGAATTAGTGAAATCTCCCCATCCTCTCCCCGTGGACGTAGGCAAATTACCGAACCACGTATATCTCTGTGTTTGGATTGATTTGGCGTTATTGGTTTGATTTGTGCAAGAGTTTGGCTTTCTTCTACTCGTGATCACAGGTTCGTTGTGAGTTCGTGTAAGGCTTCCGCATAGGCGCGCGACAAGTGGTATCAGAGCTCAGATTCAGATCTAGGGTTTTGGATTAGGTGGAGGAAGATTCAGTTTGAAGCTTGGTTCTTGGAGTTCTAGGCTTTGGTGGAGTTAGGGTTTGAAGTTGCCGTTGAAGATCTCGCTTTCCTCGTGTGGTTAGGAGTTCTATTTGGAATCCAATCTAGGGTTCAGTTGGGTAATTTCTTATTCTTTCAAAGTTTGGATCTTTCTCTACAATTTGGAAGTTGTGATTATGGGTGAAGTAATTGGTGAAAGCAGCAAGATGACAGGCACAGTTCAAGTGGGTTTTCAGAACACTAAGATTAGTGTTGTGAAATATGACGGCAAGATCAATTTTGGTTTGTGGATGAGCGACGTACAGGATGCGCTCAATGCTCAAAATCTGGAGGAGACCATCATGGTCGATGTGAGGCCACCTAAATATGAAGAGGCGATATGGGAAAAGATGAATCGAAATGCTTGCGGGGTGATCAGGTCCTGTTTGGAACAGGAGCTGAAATACGATGTGATTGGGGTGACGTCTGCGATGAAGATGTGAGAAATTCTCAACAATAAGTACCTTACGAAGAGTGTTGAGAACCGGTTGCACTTGCTGCAAAGGTTATTCAGATTCTAGATGTCCAGAGGTACCTCGCTTGCGGCTCATGTGAACAACTACACTAAGTTGTTGTCGGACTTGGCGAACGTGGATGAGAAGATCACAGATGAGTACAAGGCTATTATTCTTTTAGGCTCCTTACCGGATGAGGAGTATGATACCTTCGTGCTTACGTTGCTGAACGGGAGATCTTCTATCACTTATAGTGAAGTGACTAACGCATTGACGAACTATGATTTGAGGAGGAAGGATAAGGAGACTTCCCGCGCTAGTACTTCAGGAGAGGCCTTGTCGGCGAGAGGTAGAAGCTCATATCAGAAAGGTGGAAACAGAGGGAGGTCAAAGTCAAGAGGTCGTCACCAGCTTGGAAAGAATCAATGTGCATTCTGCAAAGAGCAGGGACATTGGAAGAGAGACTGCCCGAAAGTCAAAGAAAAGGAGAATAGCAAGAATAAGGGCCCGAAGGCCAATGAGGTGAATGTTGCGAAAGGCGATGATTCCGATGATTCGAGCTTTTCTCTTTTGATTACTCCGGAGGTGAACCATTTGGATGCATCGGAGTGGATGCTTGATTCTGGCGCTACTTATCATGTGACTCCTAGGCGAGATTGGTTCTCATCATTTGAGAGACTCGATGGGGGTGTTGTGGTCATGGGAAATGATCAATCCTGTGGCGTTCGTGGGATAGGTACTGTGAGGATTCGGATGCACGATGGAGTAGTCCGTGAGCTGAAGGAGGTGAGATTCGTTCCTCAACTTAAGAAGAATCTTATCTCAGTGGGGGCTTTGGAGGCGAAGGGATTCAGGGTGACCTTTGAGGATGCTGTAGCAAAGGTTACTAAGGGATCTTTGGTGGTGATGAAGGGAGTCCGAAATCATAATTTATATTATCTGAAGGGGAGCACCGAGATTGGCCAGGTTGCTTCGGCGATTTCAGAGGCGGACATGAGCAGACTTTGGCACTACAGGCTAGGGCATACAGGTGAAAAGTCACTGCAGGCATTGTGCAAGCAGGGGCTTTTGAAGGGAGCCAAGAGTGGTAAAGTAGAATTCTGTGAGCACTGTGTACTTGGCAAGAAGACGAAGGTGAAGTTCGGGACGGCCATTCATAGGACGAGGGGCATCTTGGACTACGTGCACACAGATGTTTGGGGTCCCACTAAGACGGCATCACTTGGTGGTCGACATTGGTTCGTCACGTTCGTTGATGACTATTCTAGGCGATGTTGGGTGTACACCATGAAGCATAAGAGTGAAGTCCTAGATTTGTTTGTGGAGTGGAAGAAGAGATTGGAACTGCAGACTGGGAGAAAGATCAAGACGTTGCGATCCGACAACGGCGGCGAGTATACCTCAGACCCCTTTCTGCAGCTATGTCGAGACGAGGGCATAGAGAGGCACTTCACAGTTAGTCATACACCGCAGCAGAATGGGGTGGCAGAGAGATTGAATCGGTCTTTGCTGGAGAAGATTCGATGTTTATTGGCGCATAGTGGTTTGGAGAAGATCTTTTGGGCTGAGGCACTTTCTTATGCGAGCCACCTCATTAACAGGCTGCCTTCATCTGCGATTGAGGGGAAGACCCCTATGGAGATGTGGTCGGGAGAGACAGCACATGACTATGACCAGCTTAAGGTATTTGGTTGCCCTGCATATTATCATGTTAGAACTGATAAGTTGGAACCTCGAGCTAGGAAGGCCATATTTGTAGGATTCAAGCGTGGTGTCAAGGGATACAAGCTTTGGGATCCAGTTGACAAGAAGATTGTGCTGAGTAGGGACGTCACATTTGATGAGGCTTCTATCTTGAAGCTTCCCAGCTCTCATCAGGTGGAGAGCAACCCGACAGAGGAGATTTCGCAGGTGGTGGAGATTGATGCAGCTCCACAGAGTCCAGATAGTGCAGTATCCATGAGAGTGCCGACTGAGGTGACGCCAGGCGAGCACGACGGTGATGCGGAGGATACGGGTACTCATGAGCAGGATCAGGGACCGACGGCTCAGGTTCAGGATTCTATTGCGGCACGGAGACAGAGGAGAGACATACGGGTGCCAGCACGGTATGCCGACACAGTTACATATGCACTTCCGGTGGAGAGTATCGATGAGATGGTACCTATTACATTCAGAGAGGCCGAGCAGAGTTCGGAGGCTGATTCGTGGTAGGAGGCTATGCAGGAGGAGATGGAGTCTCTTCACAAGAATG